AATTTTTTACGACCAAAAGACCAATCAAAGTTACGACCAAACGACGGTTGACCGCTGACGACGGACGACTGACGAGGGACGACCTTGGACAATGGGCATTCGCTGCGCGGCCAAGGTCATCAAGCCTAGCGCGGCTGTACAAATATTTTAATTTTTTTTTATCTAAGCTTCGGCAACTTAGTCCATTAGCTGTTGATTGGTTTTGGGGTTATTTAAGTATGGAACACGTGTGGTGGGGGCCATGACATAGGTCGCCGCTAAAAATTCTGGGTGGTCACCCATCCGGGATCAAGCAGCGACGGTTTTAGCTTAACCTCAGGTGCCGCCTGAAAGCCTGGCCCACACCATGCTCCTGCTGTACAAATAGTGGTGGGAGCATTGTGCGGAGTTAGAAAACAAGCGGCGGCGACCGGTTAAGAAACTCAGCACACCATGGCGATTTATTACTATATTTTTACCTGAAAAAGTTAACACATTTTGCTTCACAACTCCACTTCACATCATTATTAACATAATTTTTTAAAAAGTATAATCTGCACAATATTTCTGATATTTTTTGACGCATTTATATAAATCGGTTCAATTGTTCGCTAGTTAGAGAACTACGTTGAAAACAACGAAATTTACATGGTTTAAATAGACAAACGCAGTTTTTAGATATTAAACACTGGTATTTTTTTATACCTAGCTCGAGCCACGGCCGTGGCGCTGGATAACAATAATTAATCTTTATACAAAAGAACAGAAATTGTTCTGGCCTTTTCATTTAATGATCAAAAATGTTCATTGCCGAGTGAGAATTTTCCTTGCATAATCACTACATTTTATTAATTTTCTATTATAATTTAGTGTCTAAATCTAAACTTTCAGTTTATGAAACTTACCAAAATAAATGGTACTTCTCGAAGAATTTTTTTTTTCTGAAATAAGTATAACCGAAAATAGGAAAAAAAAAATAATCGGAATACCGATGATTCAGCTGTTTTGGTTTTTAATAACATCTCGGGCATAACTAGTCAACTGTTACAATGCCTATCCTAATACAAGATTGTTTTTTTAATTTAAAATAAAAAAATAAATGAAGCGAAATCGACAGACTTGTCACTTTCACACTACGCTACACAATTGCATAAGATACGTAGTAAATTAATGGTTTTCAGAACAGCTTTTATGTTATAACTGTATGTACCTATTATATATTAACCAAATAAAACTATCATATAAGTAGCGATGCTTCACGCATAAGGTGACTGCGAAAGATGATAACTACGAATTACGGAGACACAGATAACAAATTATGTAGGTAATTGAAAACATTCAAAGCTTATGTATACGAAAAACTAAGTAATTAGAAATGTTATGTGCACTGATTTGAATTGTTTAAATCTATATTTTTGTAATTTTTTTTTTTTATTGTTTCTAAGAAACCCACTTACGATATCGCACTCATTTTTTAAAAACATTATTTAAAATCCTGGTCTGTTGTCCTAGTGTCCCTGACATTTGATTCCGTCAAAGCTCCGTTCCGTATTATTATGTTTTTCCGTCAATAATGTGTATTATAGTCTCATTCTGCGACCGATAATTTCTGTATTAACTAGGGTTTTTAAGGCATTACATTTTGTTTAGCTCTAAATTATCCATTGTTAATTATTATTGTGTTATACCTGTTTATTACCACTTTGTTTAATGTTTATATTATTCGTCAATTTGTATTATTATTTATTATATAGTCCCGTATTCCAAATAATAATAATAAAAATGCGATATTTTTCTCAGTTTTGGTTAGCTTACGTGGGTGCCTTTACCCATCTATTAAGACTATTTCAAGAAAAATAATAATTAAATTATTATTAAAAAAAGGTATTTTAGTTTGTCAAATAATTAATTGAATCATTCATAAGCCGCAATATAGTATGTGTAATAAAGTATTTTTGTGAATAACGCGCCCACTATGATTTCACTTGCTTAAAGCAATTATTAATAGTAAACGCAATCGTTTTACATAAGAAGTCAGCCTGTGGCGCTAAAACTTAATATGGTATAGTAGTTGCTGCCAATACCAGAACTTATATTCCTCTCACTCTGTAATCGGCTATCTTATTAGTTCTACATGTTTTGCAAATACGAATCAAAACCTCTATTTTGTAGTAAAGGTTTAGAATTTAGAAGAATTTAGTAGAATGAGTTAGTAGAAAAATAATCTAATTTTGTTTTAAATGTTTCGTTATTTTTTAAATTTTGCGTTAAGAGTCCATTCGTTTTTAAAGCTTACACGTGTAAATTAAAATGTACTATTAAAATATTCGTATCAAATTATTTTGGTGTACTAAAGTTTACCTAAGTTAATATTTCTAGTCGTATTTGTTTTGAGTTATTATTAATTAGCTGTAATATTAAGCATCTTTAAACTTTAAGCATTTTATAATTTGTTTTTATTTAGTATTTGTCACCTTTTCATGTCACCTTACTGACAAAAATAATGTTCATTATATTTATTACTTTAATGTTTTTGTATGTATGTTTAATATTTTGTACATTTAAAAAAAACTTTAAATTTGTATTAACATTTTAATATTTTTCATTTAAAATACAATTATCTTGTTACTTACTGAACTAATGAATGGGCAATTATTTCTCGTTGAACAAACATTTAAATGCTTAGAAGAGGAGACTAATGTGTTCTTTTAAATTAAAATCTGTAACAATCTGTAATATTAAAAACAGATTTTTGTTGAACATTTTACAGTGGCAGGACGACGTAAAAGAAGGGGTTGTCCAGTGATACTACTTCAACTAGATTCAATTATTGGTTATGTTATTAGGGAAGTCGTGTGAACAATATCGTTTTAACCGACGAGGAGGATTGTTTGGAAGAGTAAGAGAAAAAAGATGTATCGTATTAGAATGGAATTTTGTATAGTGAGTGGAAACAAGAATTTGAATAGTAGAAATATTGAGGTCACGGTGAAGTGTACGATTACTTACATACCATGTAGTTAAAAGACGGACGTTAGTTGATTGGGAGGATTAAAATAAATTTAAATTTTAGATTTTTGTTGACCCCCTAATGTGGTTAAATAAAGACTATGTAATCCGCTTGTACATAACTTAAAAGTATATATTATGAACAAAATTATATATCCCTGATTGTAATTTAAAATGTATGTAAGTAATTGTGTATTTTTTTAATTAATTTTTTTTTTATTGAGAAAATAAACAATCTGTACAATTTAAAGCATAATAAGTATATGTGTTGATATAATACAAAACATGTGATACATTTGATAAAGAAGTCACCCATTAATGACACTTAAATTTGATAATTAATTATGTAAGATTAGGAAGGAAAAAAAAATAACTTGGTTTAATTAATATAACGTATTTAATTGCATGCATTTACTTAAGTAAGTTTTAATATTAACTCTTGTATTATTAATGTAGGTCATTTTATTTATTACCCAGTGTAATTTGTAAAATTACAATTTTTTATGTACAAATACGTGTGTTAAAAAAGCTTGTAAATTGTCAGATTTTATAGATACTAGAATGACATTCAATTATTTATAGTGCAATGCAATCCTGCATCATACAGAATATAATTATACAAAATAATAAAAATAAAGGTTTAGTGTTGTATTAGGCTTCTATATAAATTTACTTCGCCGTTGCGTTTTTACAGAATTACAAATGTGCATGTAGGTAGAAACGTTCTCGTAATGAACTGTTTTAAATAAATACTAAATAGTTCATTAAACGACACAAAGCGATTCATTAACTATACAACTTCAGATATTTTGAATGTATAAAATAGATTTACCTACATTCCAATATTACTATTATGTCTAAAATTGTATTTGTTGAAATACATTTAAAACAGCATGTTTTTACCACCGAAAAACGTTTGTTACCTATGTATATTGAATATGTTATTGTTTAACTGACCGAATTGTGTTCAAATCAAGACCGCTTACCAATTGAATAAAATTTGATTAGCATCTACAATGTACATTCTAAGTATGGATGATTAATTTTCTGAATTATGATAAAAACATAACTTAATAAAATATTCGCAATAAAATTCGACCTTATGTTAAGTGATGTATGAATGTAATTGTTGAATTATTGTCGTCAAGTTTTTTTTATCAAATAGGTCAAATTGTCATGGACCTATTCATAACATGAACATATTATCCCTTTCGTTCTTGGGATTTTTTTTTTTCGATAAAAAAATCAACAATTTTTTTACGTATCGGACTGATATTGATTATCAATATAGCTGTGTCGATCGTTTTGGACCTTTTACAATATATTTGTTCACTCAATTATTATAAGAAATTGTTTTCATCGCAATTAAAATTGAAGTATAAATTGTCTGAATTTACTATCACATAAATTATATCCATGTTAAAAGATAGTGGTGCGTTTTGTTTTTCAGCTGTTTATAATATATCTATGGCATAATTCAGAAAATTTTAGAATTTTGGTAAACATTTTAATCAAGGTTTTAACACATCATAAAATATTCTTAAAATATAATTTAAATTATATATAGTATAATAAGTAGAAATACTTTTTAATCTGTAACTGTTTTTATTGATATTTCGATTGAATGGAGCGAAGTACGTAATAAGATATTTGTATTTATGTAGGTAATAGTTAAAAATCGTTTATACTGACAGTAAAAAAAAAACATTTATAACTATCAACGTTTATTCGATTATTATTTTATTTATTTATCAATTATGCTATATAATTAGTAATTATTTCGTTAAATCACTACACCATTATATTAAACTAGTAAAGTCAACTATTTCAATACAAATTGCGATAGTTCAACTTTTTAAGTCATAGTTTTTATAAATAGACTCACGCTATAATTATTTTAATTTTGGCAAATTGGAACGATTTTAAACATACCAAATAAAATTGTATTCGGTAATAATATATACTCTAGGTATTTTTTTTGGAAATTAATAAAATTCATGTTATTGTTTCAGGATGGTGCTAGAGCAAAAGGAAAATTCTAGCACAGATGGAACGAAAAATAGTGTTGGAAACAAAAGTATTTCGTACATTTTCAAGGATAATCTTAACGATAACGTCTATACTGATATTGGTATGCCTCCTGCAAACGGTAATCTGGTAAGAAAACTATACAATTATTATTTAAATAATAAACAAAAAAATCCTATGTATTTCCTCAAATAAAATCCATTATTATTTTAAACATAATACTAGTAAACAATAAGTTAGGACGACAACGTTAAAAAAGGGGTGTATGAAAGCCTAGAAGTAGTAAGATTATTCCTAAGATGCAATTCCTGGCATGTAGACGTAATGATATAAGTTCCTTAAAAAAAAATATTTTAATGTCTATGCTAAGTTTTTAAAATACGATCGAGTACAATCAGGGGCGGGTTTTATCACTCACCAAGGGGGGTGATAGATTGAGGATCAAGAATTTACCTAGCTGTATTTTAAATCCAACATTAAAGTTAATTGCTAAGGATTTATTAAAAATTCGAACTTAAGTAGGTATAGGTCCTTGGTAGTTTTTATATGATTTGAATAAACTTTAAAAGACAAATTGATAACATATAAAGAAGAATATTATCTATAAACCTAGTATCTTAAGGGTCCTATCACTGGATAGCTTCCCCACTCATAGTCTACAAGTCATTTATTTACATTGTTCGCATATTTTCTTATTGTATATTTTATTTTATGTACAGATTGTAAATGTTATTTAAAAAAAAAACTAGTATCAACAAAATTAATAAAAAAATGGAATTTTTTTGGCGTCAATCAATTTATCAATTAATCCCAGTTTCTTTAGATTCTACTATGTTAAAATGTACTTTTTAAGTAAAAAAAAAAATAACCATTGTCATTATTGCTATATTAATATAGCGTTTGATTAAAACTGTTATAAGGCATTTTTGATCTATAATTGCATTTATATACGTTCTCTCTAAACGCGTTTGACTGTTGTGTACACTACTTCAAATGCATTTACGTTTGTTTTTAATAATATTGCTATCAGAGGCATAATATTATATTGATAATCTATATAATTATTAAAGAAATTAAATAAAAATAAAAATACTGTGTTTATTTGGTTAGTGTGGGATTACGTAATTTGATCTCTTTGAGCTTTGTAAGGCGGCCGCTGGTCATTCGATAGCTTCCATAGGCTGTTTAGTATGTGCATACAATCGATACCGTCTGTACCTACGTTGAACGGTCAATTTTCTTTTTATATTTTTTATGTTATCATTTAAACATGCTAAATTTTAGGAATACATTATTTACACTTCTGAGGAACTTGCAGGTGCCACCGGTAAATATTTTATGACTACTCAAGTAATGATTTATTTACGCGAAGGTTAGTGAATATTCATTACGACATTGGTATATTTGTCTTGGACTTCGGAAGGAGCAACTATTAAGATCTCCGTAAATTTCGGATGTTTAAATTGATGCAGCGGGGAATTACTATAATATTAGAAAGCTTATGGCGCTTTTTGGCGTTTAAGCTATTGGAACCATAGCATTGTGAGGCGGTTATGCGGTTAGGTTTGCGGTCTTGGTATTCTGGGGTGGTAGTGGTTCGAAATGGTTTTATAACCTATAACGTGCCTACTGCCTAGTAGGGTACACATTATCTATATTACCTACACGCGAAGAGGAATTCTTAATGAAATACTAATGCGTCTAATTTCAGTCACGAACACGGAACAACAATAAAGTGGTTTAATTTATGGGTTGATAGTTTCACAAGAAATCGTTTACACTAATTGCAATATTCGATAAATTTTAGTGAACGCATGTATTCGCCACTTAGGCTTTGGTTATAGCCTATAGTTAACTAAAGTCTATAATATAGTATATGAATTGCTTTAGGTCAGTACGAATCAAATAGACCAGTTTGAAATCTAATTTTATTGATAATTAGCCCAATCGGGTTATCGACATTTTTAAACTGATAGCTTTTTTTTAAACATTTGTAATGTATGGGAAGTATTACAATAATAATAATATTAAAAATAGAAAGAACAACAATACAGCTTTTCTATTGTAGTACAAATGTCTTTCTTAAATTAAATGTATTACCTTGAATAACATACATCTAAGTATACTTCTACTAATTGGTTTTTCTATTCTATTCTGACTAATATGTAATATGTAATTTTAGACTTTGATAGAGAGCGAAAATTTATAAGGGAATAATCTATAGACAATTTTTTATTGAAACATGGCATGAAATCAAAATTATTTCACTCAAGTATTAACATACCAAAGAGAAATCTCTAGTGGTATTTTTTACATAGTCTATACAAATTAAAGATAGTGAGAATATCCTAAAACCTAACATAAGTTGTTTTTGATAAAATAATAATTTATAGAAAAATGTATTTTCTATTTTACCTAAGGCTTATACTTGGATGTTTTAAAAAAGGTGGTTCTAGTAAAAATTTGACCAGCTTCTTAGAAAAGTGCAACAATTGAGGTGTTCTTTGTAGTGGTATAGCGCATTGTTTTTAAGTTAATATATATATTTGTTCATATTTTTGTAGAATGAGCGCTGTCAAAGGCAGCCGTTATTAGGCTTGTGTAAAAATGCTGTGACTGGTGTAAGAAATAGTGTAGGATGGGATTCCATAAATGGAGCGGTTGGTATAGATATCGACACCAACCATGATCACCAACAAACAAACATGGGACAGATACATCAAGACATAACAAAAGCCAAACAGCTTCCTGACAGTGGAATTATGTCCACTGAAAACGATGGCCGGTATAGCCCAAAGGTTCCTAATGGCAGTACCAATGGAGCACCGGTGCGCATTGAAATACCAAACTGTGTTATTAAGCCCAAAACTAAATTTCCACAAGAAAAAATGAAAACGTTGTTTGGTACTTATATCATAATATTTAGATGTTAACTAAGCATATTTGTACATTGATATTTTATTATTATTTCAGCATTTATACTACTTGTTGTAAATTTACTAATCACTACAACATCTTTGGCTATGGTCCACGAAAGAGTGCCAGATCGTTCTTTGTATAAACCATTACCAGACACCATTTTGGATGCTGTACCAGCTAGCGATTGGGCATTAGACGTATCTGAAGTATTAATTATGATAAGCACAAACTTGTCAGTGTTAATAATATTGAGTCATAAGTATAGGTAATCAATAATTTTTTATAGAAATATTTATGAGATTAATTTTAATATGTGTGTATGTTTATGTCCATACAGGTTTATTGTTTTGCGAAGGCTGATGTTCATGTTATCTCTTTTATATTTACTTCGATCCGTTACTATGTTTGTGACTGTATTACCCGTTTCTAGTACCACTTACTACTGTTCACCCAAAGAAAACTCTACGAATCCAGTACTAATTGCTAGACGTGTGTTACAACTATTTTCAGGATTTGGATTATCCATCAATGGCAAGCATACTTACTGTGGGGATTACATATATAGTGGTCACACCGCCATATTAGTGATGAGCTACTTAATGATAGCAGAATGTAAATAAACTTTCTTTAATTGATAATCATTAATAAACATTTTTTTTAGATTCATTATGCTAACTAATGTATTTTGCTAATTTTAAATTATAGATTCTCCCAAAAAATGGTATATACTACATTGGGCATCGTGGCTAATGGCAGTCATTGGTGTAATTATGGTGCTTATTGCTCATGGTCATTATACAATAGATGTTATTATTGCATACTTTGTCACCACACGGCTGTTTTGGATCTATCATACACTAGCTAATAATACCAATTTGAAGGTACAGTAATACATTAATTAAATAATAATTTATTTTTATTTTTTATTAATTTTATTTAATTAAGTACTTTTTAAAATAATCGTTAAATGAAACTATCAAAACCAAATGAAGTTATTTTCTCTGTTCTTTATTTTTACATAATATACACTCATACATGATTAGTCTTATTTGAATTTGTTTTGTTTAAAAAAGTATTTAGTATAAAACTGATCATTTTAAGATGAGGTTTACAACAAAAATGTAATCATATTTATTATTTCTAAAGAGTTATTTGACAGTATTAGACATTAGTATTAATATACTAAGTACAGTAGTATTTGTATTATATATATATATCTTTTCTTTTTTTTCAGCAATCTATTTCCAACAATTACCTATCACGAGTTTGGTGGTTTTGGATGTTTCAATATTTTGAAGGAAATATTGATGGACCTGTACCACACCGATATGACTGGCCATTTCCATGGCCTAAACGTTTCACACTCGCAAATTATCAGAATCGAAATAGTTAGCCAAGGTTAAAAATCTCGTCTCACAATAATGTTCCTCAGCTATAATAAAAATGTAATTAAAGCTTACAGCCATTCAATCAACATTTCCATATTTTTCACTTGTTTTACTTTAATGATGTTATATTTATATATCATATATATATATATATACATATAATTAGGTAAACTATATAATATTGAGTTTTTTTAAATAAGTGTCACAGTTAATAATAACTATAATATTGCAAGTTAAACAGCAATTTTTAAAACTTGGTTAATTAAATTCTACGAACTATTTTACACAATCCATTATTATCTTAACAAGCAGTATTATAAGCATATTACCTAATTAAACAAATAAATTTAAAAGTCCTAACCAGTATCAAAATACAAAATCTCGTGACTTACACCTAGTATTCAGAAAGCTTTAGACATTAAGTTTTATCATACATATTGGTACATACTACATTAACTATACATGTATAATACTATGATTTAGTTTTTGAAACAGTTATTTATTTGTTTTTACTTTTTAGCTTGTAAAAGCCGTTTGTAAAGTTGTTTTGTTATTATTAATATTTTTTTATTATTATTAAATTTTCGTTAAAATGTTTTAAAAAAAATGTATTTTTAATTTTGTTAATAGTAATTATGTATTGTTATTATTAGGAATAATGATTTGTGTTAACTTAATTTTTAATTATTATTATCTAGTCTAAAAATTAATTTTTTGTTAGGATCTCTCGTCTCTCTATTATTCAAGGAATTATCTTTGACAGCTTCCCTATTCGTAGCCCAAGATCCGTTTCGTGAATACTAAATTAGTGAATTACTACATTTTCTCCTTGATACTGCTTTAAAATACTTAACTTGTTTACACAAAAATACTACTTAAAAGTACTATTCAGTCGATCAGTTAGAGAAGGTCTTATTATAAGAAAATTTTCAGAAATAGATAAACAATAAATAAACAATAATAAAATTACAGAATAGTGGATTCGCCTAAAATTGGCCTAAAACATTTTGTGACTAGTCTACTCATTTATTTAATTGTTATATTTAAATAAATTAGATAAATTTGTAATTCATTGTTCAGCAAACAAAATCATTAATCATTATTGTGTTATTGTTAATACACAAACGTTATTTCAAAAGATAATACATTTTAATTTGAGATCCGTCCTTAGAACAAATATTTGTATTGTAATACTGTAAATTACTAATAAGCTTTATGGAACGTTTTACATTGTATGTGAGTTTTGTTTGTTATAATAAAAATAATATTATACATTCCTGAAGTTTGCATACACTTCAATAAGTCTAAAAATTCAGAAGTCAAGTTATCCATTCCATTCAATGTTTATAATATTTACACGTCATTGTAAACATTAATAGTATTAACTTAATATACTTAATTGGTTATCAGTGTATTTTTGTTATTTTTAATTTGAGTGTAAAAGTTGTACAACTAAATATTCTACTTATAATTTCTTTTAACCAAATTGTATGCTTATTTAGATTGTCTGTGATAGTCTTTTTGTCACAACGGCAATGGCTAGCTAGGAAAAAATTGTTACCTACCTGGAATTTTTATTTTTGCTATTAAAATTGAACAAATTGGAAACATTATTAATTCATTTTATATTAACTTAACTACTTGTTTATTTCTGTGATCTAATTAAAAAAGTATTGGTTTTTGATTGTTGTTGTTTGTTGAAAACTTTTGAATGTATGCTAATGTTTTTCTATATGTATTTTGAATTTAAATAAAATTACATTTGTAGTGTTGATTTGCCAATTTGTTTTTAACACTATAATTCCTAATGCTTATTTTAAAAGTTATATTTTTAGCATCAAGTACAGACTTAACATATGTATAATCTGAGTTAAATTAGTTATACATTGATTGAAAGAATATAGTTAAATTGAAATTAGTTTTACAGGTTTAATAGGTGTGAACTAGTTCTATTACTGAAGACTCTTGTCAGTTAAATTATCAAATATCTGATTGTTCAAATAAAAAATGTTTAACCAGAATAGTATTTGTTATTTAAAATAATGATAAACTAAAGTTTAGGTTTTTTTAATAGTTTTCAATAAATTATTAAAAAATAGTGGATTGATAATCAAAAATGTAAAAACGCTTAAGCACAGATAATGTTTTCCTTTAATTACTGTGAAAATTTGGTGATTTTACAACAATTCTAAGACGCTAGTTTTAAATTGCGCAAATCTATTTTGATGGAAAATAGTTGTAATTTTTCGAGAAATGTAATCTATAGAAATGACTGATGGTCTGACAAAAAAATAATAACCAATAAAGAATTCTCATTACTGTATTAAAAAGTATAGGTACGCTATAAAGTGAAGCTCTACAATAAGAGTTTGCGAAGAATTGCCTATACTTTTCTCTTTAATAAATGGGTAGGTAGTGTTAACCTTAAGTGTTCTGTGCTACTGGTTGAAATGAACAAGCCGGATGCTATTATAAAGTAGGTACCTAAATTATTTTCTAAATGGTTACAAATCAAACAAAAAAAATCTACTGGAATCAGATAAAGCATTTGTAATAAGTAATAACTACATATATATTAACATACATCTTAGCTAAATTTAGTTAAAATTTTATCAACCTTTATAAAAAAATAAAAACAAACATAATTTTACATTAATTATATTATTCAATAATTAATTTTCACATTAATAACCCACTATTGCAATCACATTCTACATGTATAAATACAATGTATTGATGTTTAATTTTTTTTTTTATATATAATATATTATTATATGGCATCCTGGATCAAGCTTTTTGCCCGGTCAAACGGAAACCATTGGGTATTTGGGTACCAACTACTAATGGTCGTAGACATGCTATCATACGTAGTTTGTACAGTTTAATTATAACTTAGAAGTAAGTAGTCATTTTATAAGTTTAGAATTTTTAATACATCAATAGTACGCGGTTTTAGCTGTTAATTTAATTAGCATACAAAAGCTGCAGAGGACGTGGCCACTGGAACACACGCGCACTATTTGTGTTATGTGTACTGACTTATAATGTAAGAATTAACCGCTGTACGATTGTTTTAGGGTTTAAATAAAACTCGAATTTCGATTCTTAGCCATTCAGCACGGTCCTTCGTTTTTTTAACAACACGGTTATGTCATTGTCAGAAATTTATTATCGTGATATTTATGATATATTATCACAGAATATTCTCTGATATAATCTCTGAAGACAGTAGATAGTACTACATTTATCCAGAATCCAGATATTCATACCAGTTCAGGGTAGCATTATTTGATCGAATAAATCTATAAAAACATAACGTTTAGTTCGGGGTAACGTTATTTAAATATATAAAGTTTGATGCACGTATAGTTGTTGAATAAACAATTAAATTAGGTTACGTTCTGGTCATTATTAACTATATAGTGGACTAAACTGTTTATATTTGTATCATTAAAGAACCCTGATATTTACATTATTATTTTTTTTTATACGTAGGCAATTGCAATAGAAGTTAAACACAACAAACTATACAGAGTTTTAGTTCAAATAGCCATGCAATACAAATCGTGCAGGGGTCAAAGACGATTGCGTATTTTAAAACTTAACTTTGTATTCCAGTGGACAAATGGGATAGTTATATGGTAGATGTGATTTAGATATGATAATGAATTTCTTTGGCAAACAAGATAATTAATTTGTACAACATTTTTTTAAAATTAAAATATAATGATAGGTTTTGGTGTATTAGTTTTGATTTAGTCATGTACAAGATTTTGGAAAGTTTAGAACAACAATTAGTGAAGGATGTGATTCATAAGACTGCTCAAATGTTAGCTTTGTACAGAAAACATTGTGAAAATTTATTTTGGCCTGCCAACTTATCTTGCCCAAATGTATGAAACATATGTCATTTTGTTTGAATTTTTTTTATTAAATCTCGTGCAATGTCTAGTGGTAAGTGTTTTGTTATTGTTCCTTTGTCCTTTATGTATATATTTTCAATACATTACATTTTGACTTTAGGTCCGGAAATGACTGTGGATGACTGTGTTTGATATAATATCCATCTCGTTTTTACCGCCGATATACCTACTACTTTAGGTAGTTTTTAGCCTTAGTAATTGCAATTCATACAATTGAAAATGAAACCGACTTGGGCAATGTAGTGATACCTTGCCAAATAATATGATCTGGCTTGGCTAAGATCTAAGTTTTATGAATTTGTGGCTAAAGTATTTGGTGTAGAAAGTTTTGTTTGTGTAAATAATAAATATAGATCGATCTGAACTACCCATAATTGATAATCCATTGAATAAAGTTGTCCATCAATTGTTATGTAAAATCGAAGAATCACAATTTCGTACAAAAAGAGTATGTACAAAATAGTTTTGTTATCGATTAAAACAGATTAATTGTTTAATGATTTGTTTATAGTTAACTATCATGAGACAAAGTGATAAATCTGAAAGCATTCTAAGAAATTTCTTGGTTGAAGATATGGTAACAAAAAGTTCCTTTGCCAGAGTTTTTGTCTCACATGCATAAAATAAATACGTCACTTTTTCAGTTTGCAATTGTAAAAATGGTAATTAAAAAATTTAATATTTATGGTATTTTGATGTATTAAATTTAAAAATTAAATAATAACAAGATCCAGTTAGCGGTTAAAATAAAAAAAAAGACTTAATTATCATATTTATATTCTAAAAAAGAACGTGTGGCATTAATTTCTGAATTAATTATTAATCTATCAATAAATTCTAGCTAGCATACATATTTAAATGTTTTAAATGTATATTTTTATGTTATAAAAATTCTTTATAAACCTTTTGTGCCAGGAATTTAATATTATACAATTATTTCTTACAAAATATTGTTTGAATATTATTAAAACATAAAAATGTTCAATATTAATAAAATGTTTTAACCAATATTTGTAGCTTATTAGTAAATTTATTTTTAAAAAACTATTATAAAATATTAAAAATGATGAACTATTTAAATAATTACTAAATAATTTATATTTAATACTTTTCATGACATTTAAATACTTTAAATTGAAATGTTATCAAACACTATTTGATAATACATTTTTGAAAACTTTATAAGATATCAAAAAAAGGCAATTTAATTAAATAAAACATTTTGTCATAAATTATTATAAAATGTTTCAACTATAAATGTATGCCATCTAATTTATCTTTTATTCTAGGTAAGATTGGATCAATATTATGAGATTAACGTCTGTCGCATTTACTATAAAAACTTATTCATAACTTGGCTTATTTTTTTACTTCTTTTCTGTTACATTTATAAACTATTATTATGATATTGATGTGTACAAAATGTAGTTATACCTGTTATTAATATTTTTTTATTAAATTATTATTTTTGAAGTTTATGTTATGTTTGTTCATCATTCTCGAAGGTTTATGTTTAAAAAAACGTACGTAAATAATTTAACAAATATGTGAAATTTAATACTAAACTAGTTAACTAATCTGAAATTGTGTAATACTATATTAATATAAATGTTTTAATTTTGAAATTTGTTTCTACGAAAGAATAATGCATTATTGAGTCGTGCAGTTGTTGAATCCATTTTAATCTTGGTCGCCCAACGTTTGTGATCTTCTGATTTCGTATTCCTTCCAAGCGTCATAAACAACTCATGGCCGTACAATAACTGATTTTTGTTATTGATTTCGTCTTTTGAATTGGTTTCTGCTACTTTGGCTTGTTTGTGCTTGAAGTAGACAACTTCAAATGCTAGCGTAACCAACGCTATCAATAAACCGACTAATGTGGCTATGAAAACTCCACCTGATAAAAAGCAAACAATTGTAAAATTAGCTTGGTGTCAAAGTTGATTATAACTATTCTAGACAAAAACAAATTTGAAACTAAATTTATTTTATATGTTTATCAATAAATACAAATTTTACCAAGAAATAAGTAATGCGTGGTATTATGGAATGTTATTTGAGAATAATTAAACTGATTTTTAATTAACATACCTTCCCTATAACACAAATTTTGTTAGAAAACAGTCTTATTAAAAAAAAAAAAATTTTCAGCTTTGCATTAAAGCTAAAAATAAGTAGGTAGTAGGAATCACTTCAAGATCTAATGAAGTAAAATGTGATATTCACATCAGAAAATTGACTTTCAATATTAGGTGTTATAATGATAAACATATTCATAAAATTAAGGCTGTTGAAATTCTAAATTATTTGTACTTATTAGTTATTAGAATTTTTTTTGACATATTATTTAATATTTCTAAATAATTTACGTTCTTTTACCTAAACTCTCCAACGTGATGCCTTCACTATCATCAGCATTAGGACACATGCCGACTTTTGATGCGTTCCAATATTTGGCGTTCAGAGATTCAAAAAATCTATCTTTTTGCAAATCCAATATCCTATGACCGATTTTTAAAAATTATATTTTAAATGTATTTTTAAAAGAGAACATAGATTCAGATATCACTTAATTAAATGTTTAAACAAATTTTGTATAATCTGATTTGCTCAATATTTTTTAAATGTTTAAAAAATATTTCATTCATTTAAAATTAATATCAGTGTTTTTAAGTCGACTCTAAAACATTAGTTTTGATTTTTTAAATTATAATATTTTTTTAAGAATACATATTAATAAAATTACATTGTAAAAATATTTCAGTGTTCATTATTCACAAAGGTAAAGAAAATAAAGATGGACGTGGTAGATAATGAGGTCAAATAGAAAAAATGTCCCTTGGCTCTTCCTCCTAATACATGCCTAAGTAAAGTTAAACTTTATTTTACTTTCTGCTGACTTCCTCTTGTATGAGACTTCCTTGTTGGACGGCAATCGAATACGGCCGTTCGGCAAAGGTTTCTCCAATTTCGGTTAGATTACAATTATTGTATACTTCATATTTGATATCCGAAGAGTCGTGGATCAAAGCAAATTCGCCATATTCGTTATCCAACACCTAAACAACAGTTGAATGTTTTTTATAAATTGTATAATTTAATCATACCTAATATCCTATTGATGGGTGATATTTATCTATGACATAATGCATAAAATCAGTTCTCACCATTTGGTATCCGACAGACCTATTCGGTACAGTCCCTGTCCTTTCAATAGCTGCTAATATCTGGCCATATTCCTCTTTAATTGGATAATCCCAGACTCTGAAGTCGTCTCGATGGTTAGTCTGGTTTAAAGCTATTTCTTTCCACACGCTGTCGAAGAACAATATTTTTAGTAAGAAATAAGAATCAAGAAGTTTGTGGGGAGTTGGGCCTGTCTAGTGCCTAGAACTTTAGAACCCTAAAACTACATTCTAAATAAACAATATACCATTGTCTATGCGGGTTGCTTAAAGTTATATATAAAGTTTTGGTATGTGGATTGATATCGGAAAATTACTAAAGCTATTATAAAATTGTAAAAAGTATTTTTAATGAGTTTTTTTTTTAAATTATGATTTTCAATAATTGTATATACAGGTCAATCGTCTCACATAAATACCTATTATATATATTACCTATTACCTATTATATATTAATACCTATATTTATTGTGCATATCCTGCAACAAAGAGTTAACTTAATTTTTTTAATTGTTTTTATAATATCGATGGTGATACGGCAAAAGGGTCTAAGCGACATACCTATTTCATAGTTTTCAAGGATGGCCACTAAACGTTTTTTTTGTGATTTTACTATTTTTTTTTTAAGTTCCCAATAACTTTTTTTAGTAAGAATAGTGAATTTTTCAATCATATAATTAAATTATAATATATATGAATTATAATATATTTTTCTAACCAATAGTCTAAAGCCGTGTCGCTCAGACCCAAAGTGTCGCTTAGACCCTTTTGCCGTGTCACCATATGATAAAGGCTAAACAAAATATATTTAATAAGTAATAACTAATAAAGGATAAAGAAGATTTAATTTGGCAAATAGAAATCAGTGTAATAGTTCTTATATTTTACGTCTTAAGGTATTATAGCTGTAATGGTTTTTCCTTTAAATAAAAAAGTTATTTGTTTCATTTATAAATATCATATAATATCACTGTAAAAAAGAGTTGAAACTTTTTCTTTATTGTAATTAAAAAAAAAAACAAATTTAAAAAATCTTTAGTCAACAATTTTTTTCTGCGGAAACCCCAAAAATTGAATAACCTTTAAAATCATATTAAAGTTTATAGTAATTTGTATTGCTTTTTAATAATCTGTAAAATGTATTGATTCGCATAGAAGCTTTTTTTTACGAATGATTTATTTATTTTAGTTATAATAATTACCGAAAATCTGTGATCTGCTCGATTGAAACATGATCAGTGTCTCACAAATCGTTTTTATATTAAAAATAAGGATGATCATTTTTAAACGAACATTACTACGAAAGCTGTCAAGGCAGCTCGAAAGATTTCGTTTAATTTAAAAAAAAACGTTATTTTTTACAGTAAGCCGGGTAAGGTATTTAGCCAAAAGGCTACAATCGACAAAAGTGACAGTAGGTGAGGCGGCGTTAACCACTATCCTATTATACAGACGTCACCGCCATTTGTTCACACTTTAACCTTATGCAAATCTTATAGATTTTTGATCTACTGGCATTGTCTGTCAACAGCGACAGGACCGTTGGATACTCTATGGCCTTTTTTTGTTTGTTTAACTATCAACGTTAGTGTACCTACTTCGTGGTGTAAGCATGTTACACAACTAGGTTGATGTACCTTATATAAGTATTTTGTGGCCGAATTACATCAAGTAACTAATGACGTTGTTCTGAAGTTTGTGATGTTATGATATGAGAAGAGTGGATTATTTTTTAAACTTTTGATTCGACCTAGTGGCTAGTATATTCTGGACATGCGATTTGTGATCTATTGAACTGCTGACCAAGTATAAACCGGTCCAGCTATTCCGGAAATGTTCATGTAGACAGTTCAACATAAAAAAACACAACAACGTCATGTATTCTGTACACCTATGGTATAATAATTATAAGTTATAAACCACAGCGCCACAACGTTATATTATACGACTATTGATCTTCATCGTAGTGTAGGTTTACATAAGGTGTTATGCGCTTGAAACTTTAGTGTAATTAAATGACGAACCAACATAATACCGTTATTCGTCAATATTAATTTTCTATCCCAATTTTCAATTACCGCATTAGACAGATAGGTACTGTAACCATGTACACGTGGGGATGCCAACAACGCAGCATTGTAAACAAGCATAGACACAACAAGTGCTTTCAAAAGGAAACTAAATGATTAAATTCTATACACTTTATCACAATATCTAATCATGGACATTAAAACAAGCCCACGCGTAATATAACGTCTACACCTTTTGGCCAAATTTATAATGGTATAAAAATAAATGTCAAGGAATGTTTTTAGGATGCTGGAATGCTTAGACAATATTTTGTTAAAGTCTTTCTACAGGCGCGTAAAGTTGAATGCGTTAATAATCTTTATTAAAAATTCCTAAGTAAAAACAACAATTCATTATTATTTAAACCATTATAGGATTCATGTTTAATTGCAACCAGTTATGAGAGTAGGCGCAGTTTGATTTGCTCTGGTGGTGTCGTTTACACGGCAAACGGTCATATAAATGTTTATTTAATAAACAATAGTTATCGTTTTTAGGTCTACTCAATTCTTGACTTCTCGACCATCTTTGGTGGCTAACAACCAACGCAACCTAACCTTACCGTTTACTTTACTATTCACATTACACATAATAAAATATAAGTATATTGTCAACTCACTTGTACAGAATATCTTCTGCCATTTTCATATTTTTGAAAAATTGATGCGCAGTACTACTGTCAACGACAGAATAGTTGATTCTCGACTGCCGAGCTAACTGTTGCAAGGATTGTACTGGAGTCTTAGGGTAAAATAACGTGTAGACATTATTATGCGTGTTAATCAATTTGAATAGATTTTTATATTTGCAGATTGGTAGAACCATACTTGCATCCGTTCCACTGTCAAAAACGCGGCTAGATTAGCCGTGAAAGTGGCCAACATGAGAACGACGAACACCCAATAGGCTGCGACTAATACACGTCCACTGATAGCTTTTGGGGTTTCACCGCCTCCTTGCGGTGTGAACGAAGTCAGAGCAAACCAAAAGCTCTCGACCAGAGTGAAGTTTCTGCAAAAATCAACATTTCATCGCAATAGAGTGAGCTTATTTATCATTAATGATGTCGAGTTCAGTTCAACCTGAATTGTTCGTATTTAGGTTTATTGTTCTGAGCACTGTACGGAGAATATTTATCGAGTATCCAAATCATAAACGCCGTCATTGTAAGAGCGCCTACAATGCTGAGCCAGACTTCAGGTTTGAGTACAGTCATAAACTTGAACAAGGAAGTTTTTCTTGTTGGCTTTCTGATGACTAAAAAAAAACGTTAAAAATAATTATTGAGTACGATTACAATTATAAACAGTGCAAAAATAAATAAATAACAATAAATAGTGTGGGCGTTGGTTGATAATTCTGTTGTGCTGCTAGTTATTCATTCTGTCGAGATAAGATCTCACCGATGGATATTCCGGTCTGTTCAAAGTAAGGGGCTATAAAATCGATGACTTCTTCTCGCTCGGACGTCATAGTCAATGCTGCAACGACGATGTCCAACTCCTGTCATCGTGAATATAATTCAATTTTGAGATGTCTTATCGGTTAAGTTGTCTGTATGACTTACTCCTTCTACAAGTCCGCCTATCAGCCCGTTCCACGTGTTGTTGACCGGATCCAACTCGCCAAACACTTCTTTAACTACTAGTTCGTATTTAAAGTTCATATCTTTGGCGAGCTTTTCTATCAGGTCTATGCAATAGCCTTTCCACGTACCGTCCATAAATGTCCAAGGTATTGCCTAATAACACAAACGGTTGCTATGCAATTGTCGGAGAAAACAAAAGACATTAGATTACTATACCTTTGCAGTTCCTATTCTAAAAAATCGTTGCTTAGAAATAAACGTAGACGCTGTCTGTTCCATATCTAAACCTTTTTTTGAAGTCCATGTACCTAATTGCTTGGGCGAACCTTTAGAGGGCATTTTGTAAATTTCTGCTCGGTCGTCGTACGTCACCGTATTTTTATCAGCATCATAATAGATTTCCTTTGTAAATTTATACTAGAATCAGTTGAAAAAAAATTGTTGTGTTATAAAAAAATAAATGTGTTTGGTTTATTGAAATCAAAAAGATGTCTTAAATAGCGGATTAATTATACATTTGATAGCTATGATTGCAACAGAGTTTTTATGAAACTAAAATATACTCTATAAATTATTAACATTTTGTTTGCAATTATGCAGGTGACTTTTTTAAGTGTCTTTTAAGTGACTTTTTTAACCCAATAACTTTTAGGGTTTATCAGTTGTTGATTTGTTTTCCGTAGTGTTCTTTTACAATCAAATTAAAATTTTTCACACCATTTTATGATTTTAACCACCTCCAAATTTAATTATTTTTATCAACTTTTGAAACATAAATGGTAACGTACATATTTTATTAACTTTTTAAATTAAGAATAATTTACAGAAAATGTTGACTAGTCCATAACCAGTTTTGGATAATAGTTCTTAAAGTTATTTAAGTTTAAAGTTTATGATGGGAGGAGGGGTACTATTTTTATCTGCGCGTACTACCTACCCCCTCTTCCCCGGCAAGACACCTGAGTATACCTTTTTTAAAGTTAATAATTTATAATTCTTTCGAAAATTTGTCAAAATATTTCATGCAGTATATCATTATCACATATATGTATATAACAGTTATAACTTATAAGTTTTATAAATTATTATTATAACAAAATAACATGGTTCGAAAAATCTTGATAAAATCGTACAGCAAAAAATCGTCGACCGTATCTGTAATTAGTGAATTAGGGTACTAATCCCGGATTCCATGACCGCATATATATTATTGGATTTTACCAAATTCTTAAATATTTAACGGTCACTTGTAAAATAAATAATGAACCGTATTTGAAATTGATCAATTTATCGGGTATCTTATTCTGTGTCGGATCCCACTCCTGAGGGTTAAGTGCGAACAAATATTCGAGGGTTTAAGCTAGAAGTAATCTAAATAAACAACGGGGTTTCGGAGCATTGCACCTTTTGCACCCTTAATTTATTCGGCACTCATCATTTTAGTTAAGATTGTCTAAAGAGAAGGTTAAGACATTTGCAAACGAAATATGTTAAGGGCTTCGGTCATGTTATAGGGAAAGATTTAGATTTAGGGATTTATCATATCACAGAGTTTATAGGTTAGAACATAGATCTACAATCTACATGGGCAGAAATCCGAGGGAAACAGATTGCATAGGTACAATTATTAATGTATGATGTTATAAACCGCTTACGGATGATATTGCGTTTAATATTGCCGTTCTCTGTTCTCTGGCTTGATCGGATGCAAAATTCGAGGAGCAACTGAAACTCAATTGCATGTCTGTTACGCGTTGAAAAATATTTTTGATAAAATTTAAAAACACTTTGGCCCTAGCCGTGTCATTCATGTATCCGTTTTCCCAGGACATCATCTTGACAACTGATATCGACGATTCGGTCCGTATCACGCTCGCAGTGTCGGTGACGATTATCCAAGAGTTGTCATGTTTTATCAAGTGTTCGTTCCTAGCCTAATTCATAATAACAATAATGATCAATATCATTTAACTGAAGTCTATTTACTGGTTAAGGTTTAAAATGCACACAGAGCTTACTGAAGTTGAATTTCTATAACACATCATTTTAAGATGGCATTTTTTTTTATCTTTGTGGGCTATAGTTTATTCCTCATCAGGCAATTAATAAAAAATACTGTAAAATATCTTTTGTGAAGTGTCATACGAAATCGTTTGTAACACATTTTTATTCACATCCTTTATTATTATTATTGTATATTTTCTAATACCGCCAAGAATAATAATCTGTTTCTATACGCTGTGGTTTTTATTTACTGCGTGAGTTTAGAGATGTTAAAAATGTGTTTCATGAATGATAAGTGATTTCGTAAGAGATTATTGCAGAGAACATTGTTTAGTTATTGATTCCTATCCCGAAAAAATAATTCGAATTACAAAGATAAAAATAAAAAATTATACATTTATATTTTTTATTTGTGCGTCGCATTAAATACAATGAACATACAATATAATTTAAATAGTGTGATATTAATAGTGTGTATAAATTTTTGAAAAAATGATAGAAAATTGTTTGTTTTCTTTCCATAAAAATCTCGCTGACGAGAAGGAATTTGTGTTGTAAAAAACCGGAGCCGTTTGGGCTACGTCCTTTTTTTTTATGCATTTAGATATTGTTACTAAACATTAATATAGATTTATTTTATAAAAACCATTATTATACTTTTCATTATTCTTTGAATTTTAAATTAGTATTCCTAATTAAATAGCACATACAACTACTTAACAACACTATCAGTTAAATGAAAGAACGAAATAATATTATATTGGTCAACTGGGATAGTTTTAGAAAAGATCATAGATTACTGATAGTTTTGAAATAGTGAGAACTTTGTAGATAGCTATGAACAGTCGAATAATAAATTACCGATAATAGGAATGGTTAACAAAAGTATGCAGTGTGGAAAGAGCAAATCGTTTTATGTTATTTCGTAGGACGAGAAGCAAGTAATATATCGTGCCCAAACCTAAGCGGGCAAGAAAAATAATATATTGGTTTCTGGTAAGATTGTGTTTATTGGAACACGGACTTATTGGAATATTGTGCTTTTATACCAAGAAGCAATGCGTGATAGAAGATTAACTCATTTATTTATTCGATCAAAATTAGTAATAATTTTTACGACGAGGGAAAATATCACACTAGGTATAATTACTAAGAATTAATTGATTTAGAAATTCATCACAATGTTGCTAAACTCAATTGGTACTAAATACTAATCATAATATAAAAACAGTAAATTTAAGTACATAAAAAGGTAAGTAATTCAAAAGAATTTAATATTAGAGTGGCAATAGAAATGTCAATAAACAAAAACAATTTGTTAAATTGTGGGACTCACGTCCATCACAAATAATTTTACTAAAATTCATAAAAACGCGTGTTGACGATGAGTCATCACTTCCTGTAAAGCCCCCTATACACGATCAAGCCATTTGCGCAACTACTGTGTTTGAGCAAACATTTTGATGGTGTATGGCACGGCTTGAGTAGTTGCACAACGGTTTGAAAGAAATCGGTCGAGACCGAAATATTTTGCACAAACATTAGCGTTTGACAAGCGGTTTGATCGTCTATGCCAGTGTTTGACAAACATCACAGATAAAAACTTAAAACATATAAATTAAGCGTGTAGTTTTTTTATAAGTATTCATTTTTTAATCGGTTTTTAATTAATAATGACGACGAGAAAGAACTTCCCGTGAGCTTCCCGAACTGTGGAAAGTAAAACGTGACATGTACAAAAATAGAAATAAGAAGGATGCGGCATTCGAGAAACTGGTGGAGAAAATGAAAGAAATAGGCCCAACGCTAAAAGGGATATCGTGCGTACCAAAATAAATACTCTTCGTATTTCGTACCATCAAGAACTTAAAAAAGCGAAGGCCAGCATGAAATCCGGTGCTGGATCTGACGACGTATATGTGCCTAATCTTTGGTATTTCCCCAAGATTTTCTGAGAGAATTCTCGAAATTGTATCAAATTCAAGGAACTTCCACGATGGAACCATTCCTTCACCCACACTCTCTGCTTTATTTTCTGTTTAATTTTTTTTCGTTCCGTCAAACGAGCAACAATTATTGAGGCACAAGTATCCTCTGTTTCGGACGTCATGCGATATTCTTTGGCGAGTCAAAACACTAACTGAAGTTTGCACAAACCGATGGAACGTGTATGTACTACAGTTAGTGCAAACATGATGTTGCACAAATACAGTAGTTGCGCAAATGGTTTGATCGTGTATGGGGGGCTTAAGACGCTGCTGTATTTAGTCTGTTGTGAGTGCTGATGATGGAAGTATTTCTACCGAAATAGTGTATTATTTTTGCGGTTAGGGGTTTTTTTCAAAAAGTATTTTAGTTTTTAATTCTTTACTAAAAACATATATACAATATGTATTATATATTTTCAAAAAGTATACTTGTCGTTAAATATTTTTTCCGTCAAGTTGATTTGTACATACCGTTTTCAAATACTCTTCGACGTCCCGTCCAACCAATGCTACGTGTCTAATACCGATTTTAGTGTTTCTGATCTGATCGATTTCTTTAGAGGTAAGTTGCGAGAAAACAATAGATCTCAGTGACGATTCACCAGAAGTCAAGTAGACCATGGCTTGGTCGGCGTCTGAAACGTAAAAGTATTATCTGCGGTACTATGCTATAGAAACTTTGTAATCAGAGTCGCATTTAGGACCATTTGCGCTCGGTAAAAAATAAAAAATCTATCGTTAAGCCTAGTTTTTTATTATTTTTTTAAAACTAATTTTGTAACCCTCACAAACGTTAATACCGCTGGACAATTAATAAATTAGAAGCAAATTTATTTGGCATTTTCTTATATATAGGTGCTACCGTGAAATCAATAGGAACAAAATTTAGAAATATTAAAAAATATTAAATTCAGTGTCTGGCATTTATAAAATATACATCTTTTTGTATTCTCATGGTAAGTAATATGTTAATATGTTTACTAAACTATTATTAACCACAATAATAGTTACTCAGAAATTATTTCTCGTATGTGTTTTTTTAACAATCTCAAATTGAATACAATATTCAAACCAGTGGCATTATCAATCCCATTTCTCGCCATTATTACGATAGGCAAAAGCTATATAGCTGTTGCTATATTTATAACTAACTGAGTTACACAGGTATATACAATATATATTATATTTATCCCGAAAACTATGAATTTGACACTAATATCGGTCGTTTTTGATAATTTTTACATGTCACCCCCTTCTTTCCACTCTCCTCACCTCTAGAGGTGTCTACCCCCATAGTATTTTTTCCAGACCGTAAGTCATATGTGTACTGAATTGGTTAAAATTTCTCCAGGAGTTTCATTCAAATAGAAGAAGAAAATTGAGTATTTGAGTTATAAAGAAAAGGAGGTGAATAAATAATTGAATTCCATTGTTATTATTTTTTTAAAAACACAGTTAGTCATCCCATAAAAATGTTTCCACCCGTTATAACTGTATTTATTGCAACTTCCGCACCTCTAAATGCGACCTTCGTTAATGACAGCTATTATGTTTGTATAGCTAACCTGATTGATTAGTAAACACGAATGTGATTTCTTTAGTGATGTTCAACCACTTGACGTAGGTCTCGATCAGTCGTATGACGGGTCGAATGGGCGAGAAATCGGTGTGAAAGTATGGAAATGCATTGGCGTTGCTGATGTTCCTGCACGTCGAACAGGAAGGATGGAGCATATCGACAACCCCTAATGTGTCGTTAAACGATTCGCAAACTGTTAAGGACAATCGACAAGTTAAATCTCAATCACCATTAAAGCAACATTAGTACTATTATATTTGATTGCCTAATGTTAGGTTATCTATTTAACATAGTACACTCATTTTCTTTGATAATTTATTAATTTTATAATAAATAACGCCTTTTTTTTAGTTGTTTGATATTAGATGTGTGGTTGAATATAACGCAAATAAAACAAAAATATTGCATGCAGTAAAACTTGTCTGAAATCTTGAGTGAAGAAGGGTCTTAATATTCTATGTAATCTATGTATATATAAAATATAAATGAATTCTTGTTTGTTTGTCCTTCATGCATTAGTACACCATTCATCCGATCGCCATGAAACTTTGGGAAGTCGTTGAGTACACTCCCGCGAAGATAACTGGCATAGTAATTTTTGAAAATTCCCCCCCCCCCTAAGGGTGGCCTCAAACATGAACTTTGTACTTTAAATACGAAATGTAAATAAATTAAATGTTTGTAACCATGGTTATCTAAAATAAACACTTGGTTTGTAACCATGGTAACCCAAAATAAACACTTGGTTTGTAACCAGGGTAACCACGGTACTCGAGCAAATGGTAGGCATCGAGATAAAGAAAACACCGGAGCGCGCACTCGAACCGAAAAAACGAGCCGCCATCCCCGCTACCGTATGGCAAAACCGTATAGTACGTAATGCGTTTACGCCCCACCACCGTACGGCAACCGTGTGCCTCCCGGCAGCTCGTTCTTTTTACGTTGCCGTGATAGGGAGTGCGCGCTCCAGTGTATTCTTTATCTCGATGATGGTAATTGGTAGGTGATGATTAAAGGAACAGGCCGATTCTATGTATCACAATTCTGGGCAAGCTTTTAACTGTTAGAACGGGATCTGAGACCTTTAAGTAAGAGGAGGACATAATAGGTTTGTTCGTTTTGAAAAAAAAATGTACACTACACTAATTAGTGTACACTTTTTTCTACTCTACGGTCGGTGTGAAAAAAGTGTATACTGATACAACACTATTTCAA